TAGTTTTAATGTAATTGTACATCCTTAAAATAAAAATAATTCTGCTGCCCAAAGTACGAACTATAGACTGTCTATTTTTCGTTTTGTTCGCCATCGCGTTAATGTTTCCAAATCGAATTCAAACACTAACGAACACTGAAACGAACACTGAAACGTATGATTGATTTTATTTGTCAATAATTGAAACACACATACGCACACAATCACTTACATTCTTCGAATTCTATTTTTGGTATTGTGAGTTTCACAAACCAACAACAAACAAAATCAATATGACTTTCTAGCATTCATTTCGTTTACTTCATTAGTATTTAACCCAATACAAATGAAAATAAATAAAGATCTAAGTATGTTAGTGAGTGTGTATGTGTGTACGCATGTTGAACTCTTAGAGACTTAATGACGACATCAAGGACAAAGTTGTATGATGATTACGCGTTTCAGCTGTTATCAGAAAAACAACAAACGGAATGGAATGTTGTAAACGAAATAACCAAACAACCAATAGCAAACAAAAAAACTGAAATATATTAAAGCAAAACTGTGTCATTTCATTGCTCTAAACCCAGTAGCAGAATGAAGCAAAGCAAAAAACTAAACACTAAATGACGAAATTGCTACTCTTCAGATTTTGAGGTCGTCGTAATAGTCTGCCGCCGCGTCTGACGCCAAAATAAGAAAATATTACTACTACTCCGACTGGCACTTTGTGTGTTTGTATGTTTCATTCCATTTTACTGAAAGGAGTCATTTGAAAAAGCACCCAGTGTTACATGCTCTGTTTTGTCCACCCCTTCTGCCTTGAATTGATTTCAACAACTTTCACTTTCAATCTTCAAATGAAAGAAGAAAATCTAACTGTTGTTGTTACTATTTTTTTTTTGTTACACGATTACACAACACAGTGACAGAACTCGTTTTTTTTTCTATATTTGTTTAGTTTTTTTTTATTTTCATTCTTCAATTTATTGCATTTTCTTATTGTGTTGTTTTATTATTAAATGATATTCCTGCCGTTGTTGTTGCTGTTTCTCTTTACTTGCCCCACAATTAAATTATTGATGAAGTTATTCACTGTTTATAGCCTCAAGTATTTAATTCACATAAACACACACACATGTATATCTTATACACTCACTTTACCACTTCTTTTGGCCAATAACTCTTCTGAGGAGTGGAGATGACATTAAATGGATTAATGGCCAACTATAATTTTCCGTTATTGTTGTTCTTGTTAGAAAACAACTTTCACTTTTCTTTTTCTTCTTTTTCGTTTTCTTATATTTTATTTATTTTTCTTCTTCTGTTTTCTCTTTATTTTTTCTTTTTCTTGATGTTGTTTTGTTTTCAAACTTTATTAACTTCTAATCAAAATACACTTGAGCATTTGTTTTTGTTTGGTATTTGTTTTTAATTCGGACTTCTTTTTTTTTGCGACCACATCTGTATTGCTTGAACTCTGAGGACGGACTAATATTTGATTTGACTAAATAAACGACTAGAAGACTACAACGACTACTACTACCAATGCCTTACAAGTGTCACTTCGTCATTGTATGAAGGATAACGGCATATATTCACCACACTTTGTTGTTGATGAGTTAAATCGGGAGAGAGAGAGTGTGAGAGAAAAAGTGTGAGAGAGAAACACGTTTGTTGTTTTGCATAATAAGCCAAGGAGAGAACACAATATGAACAACGTGGCCTGAAGAGCAATTAAAGAGAACTTCAATTCAATTGAAAGGCAATAATTGTTACAAAAAGCCTCCGTTCAAGAAGTGTTCGATTAGTCTTTGAAACAAGTGCATAAATTAGTGCCATAGACAGACAAACATACACATTGTTTGATTTGACAAGGCTCGGCATATTTGTTATTGTCTGTGAGACAATTGTGAATTGTAAAGGGTTATCCGAAGGAGAGAGAATTGATTTTATGCATATTTTAAATATGATATCTTCAGAATATGAAAGACGTGAACTAGACTTTTATATCCAGATGTTCCTTATTTATAAAGGATTATTTCATTCCCAAGGTTATATACAGTCAGCAAACATTTTACAAGCACAAGTCAATCGGAAAAACTTTTAAATACAGAAGCACTTTTTAAAGTCTTGTATAGCCCTAAGACAATCTGCAGGAGTTTTTAGAGCTCCTTATCAAGTTATTTACACATTTCAGGTGCAGATCTTCTACGCAGCTTTAATAGAGAGAAATCTAGTCCTCTTTAATTTTTACAACAGACAGATGACCTCATTCAGGACTGCTTAAAACAGTATAACTTTTCAGCGGCCTTGAATAGATCGAAAACCTTAAAAAAATTAAAATGTGTTCTTCCGCTTCCCAGCAGAAAACGAACATTTTTTAGTCTCTTCTAAAGAAGGTCATTGCCTGAAGCCGTCTTAGAGGTACACAAGAGCCCTTTTATAAGGTTTTTGAGGATATTTTTTTAGAATTACTATTGACAGTGACAAAAACTCTTTAATAAAAAAATGTTTTTTAGTTTGTTATTAAGAGAACAACTCTTTTAGGTCTAATATTGAGAGAATATGTCCCATATGCCTTTCTATAGAAGAACTATACAAATATTCTTCAGAAATATAGTAGTATTTGTGAAGTTTTCCATATATAGAAATCCCCATGGCAAATACAACCTTTTTATACCCTTCGCCATACTGGGGTACAGGGTATTATGTCTTTGTGCATATGTTTGTAACAGGCAAAAGGAAACGAGATAGACCCATGGTTCATTTTAAGAATATGCATATAATCATTTTCTAAGTCGATTTATGCATGTCCGTCCATCTGTCTGTTGATGTTAAATTGTAAACAAAGTACAGGTCACATTTATCATCCGATTTTGATGAAATTTGACACCGCTCATTCTATTGAAATTGGGAGAAATCGGTTCAGATTTAGGTATATAATTTCGTCCGATTTCATGCAAATGGTGCACAAAAATCCACGTATATCTTTCGATTTGCATGACATTTGGCATAGTACACCTAACCTTTGACAAGTTTCGTTGAAATCGGTTCATATTTGGATATAGCTTCCATATATATTTTCGTCCGATTTTAAGTAAATTGTGCATTAAACTCGTCATGTTTGTCAGTTTGACATCAAATTTTGCACAACGTACAAAATTGAGCATAGAATAACTTAGTTGCGTTTTCTAGAAGTACAGACATAGCCCAACGGATGACCCATTGGTATTTGTTTGAAGTCGACTTACATATTTTGTCCCATTGTAACTAACGAATGACATGTTTATGGATAGAACCAATTTCATGATAATAGTCCTGTTTAATATACCCATAGTGCTGAAGGGTATTATATAGTCGGTCCCGTCCGACTTTACTACTTTCCTTACTGGTTTACGGAATATAAAAGTATTTCAAAACAAAATTCTTTCCACTACTAGCCTCTAAATAGAAGGCCTTTCAGGAAAATTACTTTCAAAGCTCATTATACAGAACTTCTTTGTGTCTAATATAGTCAAAATTCTTTTTTAGATTTCAGTATTTTAGGTGTTTTAAAGTGACAAACTGAAAAATACTGAAAAACGTATTCAGCTCTAGTCTATATATAGACTTTAATTATTATTTATATCCTTTTTTACCGACCCACTTGAATGTAATCTTCATGCATTCACAAATCAATGTTGTTTTGAAAGCAACAACTGGTAAATGGCTTTATTTGTTCCACTCTTTCTCTCGCTCACTCTCTCTCCTATCTCACTGCGCAACTCTTACATTTCAGATGATATTCTCCACAGAAAGTTCACCACTTTCTTAGACAAGTTGTAGTTGTTGCTGTATATTGGATATTATCCTGTCGAAATGAGAACAATTTTTTTCGTGTTTGTTTACTTGTTGTGGAGAAATTGTTTTGACCGCCTTCAATAGAAAAGACAGCGATAGGATGACAAGAATAAATAAAAAATACTAAGGCTATGATAAACAAATAGCAGTCTACTTAAAAACATAAGGAAAGGAGAGTGTTTTCGAAAGAAGTAACATAAAAATAAATTGTTTATATACAATAATTAAAAGTATCAAATAAAAGTATTGAAATATATGTAACAACAATATCAAATATCCTCTAACGATTCCACACTACTATCCTTTTGACAAGGATGAGTCATTGTTATTGCGTTTTGTGTTGCTTGTTGTTTTGTTTTTCTATATTCTCGTACAAGTTTTCTCTTTGTTTGCGAATAGAATTTCTGTCAGTAAGGTAAGGTCAAAGCAAACAGCAAAACAATAACAAATAGGAGACTTGTTAACAAATATCATATATGGATGTATGTACGTATTTCAGGACATATATACACGCACGTGTATATGTGTATAAGGGAAATGAAACGCTGTTTTATGTCTCCTTGAGAAGTGGAAATATTTACAGTAGTTTGGATAACAAGATAGTTACGCATTACATATAAAATAAAATCAATTTAAACGAATTAATGATACCCTACACTATCAAATAGTATACCCTAATTTTCTTAGATGTAAGAAAAAAACGAAAGATAATCTTCTTGACTTCCATAATCAAAAGGTATACAAAATCGAAAACAGTAGACTTACAGATGGTCGTAAAAAGAAGGGCCTGTATAGGTAGGTCCTCTATCTACAAAAGTTCTAAAAGGGATTCCCAACCTGCAGTCCTTCAAATAATTTATGACGCATTTTATTAACAGAAACTTATAGAAGATTTTTTTTATTTATATTTTATTTTAATTTATAAAAAATATAAATTTACAATAGTTTTAAAATTTTTTTTAAATTAACTACAATTACATTTAATATTATAAAAAATACATAAATGAGGAAAGAAGCTAACACATAATATAAGTTAAACGAAAACACCACATGGGGTCAAACAATTTAATGTACTCCTAAATACCAGCCTTAACAGTCATTGAACTGTTAGTTTATTTTCACTGCTGTGCGTAGTCCTTCGAGTTGGTAGTCGCTGTTTAATGGTCCGTACTCATCACGGAAACTATGCAGCCATCATTGTTTGTATCCATGGTAAATATGTGGCCACATTAACATAAACACCGGGTACACCTGCTGTGGCACAACCAATGCCCCAAGCCACCATACCGACCACATACCAAATGCCATTACTTTGGCATACCAGTGGAGAGCCGCCGTCACCCTTTAAAAAAGGAAAGCAAAACATAAACAGTGAATATCGCACAAACACACACACAATCTCACTAACACCCAAATATGTGTGTCTTGACATAATTTGACTATTCCCCAACCATAATGTTGTCCTTGCAACACTTACCGTACACGCATCCTTGCCCGCCTCACCGCCGGCACATATGAAACTTGCATTGTCCAGCACAAAGCTCGACCCCAAGCGTGTTTGACGCAATGCCGTTTGACAATCGGCATTCGGTATTAGCGGCACATCAACTTCACGCTGTATGGCCTGATAGGCACCGGTGGGACCAAAATCGTTTTTACCCCAACCCGCAACATAACAACGTTGACCCACAAACGTTGTTGTGGGCAGGCAAATGGTGCCCACGGTTGATTTGCTTGTCAGCGAAACTGGTGTGGCTAATTTCAGAAGGGCCACATCGTTTTGGAGATTGTCTTTGTTGTAGTTGGGGTGAATGAAAACATTGGCGACCATAACATCCTGTGCTGGTATGGGCTCATTTGTACTGGCGGCATCCCATTCGCCAATGCGTACCTTATAGGAGGTGATTCTGCAAAAAAAGCAAACGAAATAAGTACAAGAATCCGTTGTAAATTGTAAAACCCAACGGAATAATACTTACGCTAAATTTGCCACCTTATGGGCCACAGTAAGTACATGCTGTGCGGATATTAAAGCTCCCGATCCCAAATATACCTCCCCGGTTGTTAATAACGCCGCCTGCCATGGATATTCACCAAACGAAGCCTGTCCAGCACTAGCTGACAAACTATTGGGTGGTGGTGGATAACTATGACCACATTGATATGATCCGGCCTGACAACAGACGGATAAGCCATAACTGCAAGTGAATGGTGCTGTTGTTGGTGCAGCTGTCGCTCCCTGCAGCAGCCGAGTTTAATGGGAATTTATGTGACTATTAAATCTATTTTAAGGCGAGCGAGAAATTTATGCGACTTACCGTATTTACGATACGTATATCAATTTGACCACTACCATCTGTGGGTGGTGTCGGCAACGGGTTTGGACACGATCCAGCCGGTACACAAATACAATAGGATGTTGTTGTTGTTACAATATAAGGGTTTATGGTACCCGATATTAGTTGTCGTGTTAAAACTGGAAATAAAATTTGGAAAATAGGGGAACATGTAATCTATTGAAAAGCTATAACTGATGGCTATAAATGATTTTAACTATTTTACTAAGTGGAAGGGAATCTACAATTTACACTATCTTTATCGGATATTCAAGTATTAAAAGGCTTATCAGAGGACATTGTAGAGGTTCAGTAGCCACAGGTGTTTATAACTACCCTATTCAAGATAGAAACTGCAAGAGTCTACCCTATACCACATTCAGCAACAGGGCATCTGTACATTTAGAAATCAAAATGGTGGACTCATAGTTATTATTAAGCATATACTAATCACTTTTTGAGGCTATTTACGAATTTATATCGAATTACGAGGAATATTGCTCATTTATTAATTTATTATGACAAAACTTGATGTTCAAGTATAGAGTAGTTTCTGCAAGGACCTGGAACGTCTCAAATTAGTGGTCGTAAAATGCATCCCCAAGAGTTTGTAACGCCGCGAAACATTAGTCCTAGACTCAACTTTAAGTATACCGATCGTCATATCTCACTAGCTGTGTCGATGTATACATTTGTGTCCGTCTGTCCATTATAGTTTGGAAACACGATACAGACCACAGTTATGGATCAATCGTTACGAAATTTTGTATGTAGGATGGGTTCTCGCCAAAAAAGACCCCTTTTGCTAATGATTTCATCCCCTTAATATTAAGGGGATGAAATGGACCAAAAACTCCTCCTTCTGCCTGAACCATCAGTAGGATCGCTTTTATACGACTGACTATGTCGATGTTCTTGTATTGTATCTTGATTCATTCGACGGCCCGTAGATCTTTCGCAGAATTTTTGCGAAGAAATGGACCGAAAATTGTATTTTTGTCTAGTCGCTCTACACGCCACAATTGTAAGTCGAAAATCACAAATTTTCCATGGGGAAGGCAATCAGATCAACTATTTTGTATGACCGGTTAATATTAGGCGGTTCAAATGAATCAAAACTTTTGGTGTAAAATAACAAAATTTGAATCTTATGGAAAAATGTTTTACTGCGGCGAAAACACGGTTCGGAAAAGATGCCGCAGAGGGGTTTTTGATCTCTAATCGGCGAAGAGAGTGCAAATATCGTGAAATATTACCCAGACTCGGAATATAGAAACGCAGAAGCTTAGAGCTCAGTGGTGGTTGTGTAAGGTATCATTGGTGGTGGTTGTGTAAGGTATCAATTCGATTTTTGGAAAACTCCCTATATTTGAACACAACCCAAGTTGGAAAATAAGGAAGATTTTGGCATATTACATTTAAGATAGCAATGTAGGCACAGAATAACGTGTTAAAATTTGGAACAAATTTAAAAATGCGTTTAAAGTTTGAGAAACATGCTGACACAATATGTCAGAAGTTCTTCAGAAGTCGTAGGTTCATATTAAAAAAATGGATTTTTAAAAGAGTTCTCCCTTAATTATAGGTAGTTCCCCTATGCCAGTTTTTATAATCTCTAACTATATATTTTAAGTTGTAACCTTATATAAACCTGCTTCACATTTCATTGTACATATTTTTAATCATTTTATCTAGAATCGATATCATTTAAATTTTAACAATTTCCTTCCAAAAAATAAAATTTATGTACATTTTCATTCACGCGCCGTTGCCCTTTAGGATAATTCCAATACGAAAACAATTATTTGCCTTCATTACAAACAATTAAATACGCGTTTGCAATATCCTGTGCTTCAATCAATATGTCACACAAATAATCAGGGGAATTGATGTAACTACATGTAAACCTAAATGAATACATACATGCAAGTGTATGTCGGCAATTCATGGAAATCTTCGACATTTTGGGCTTTTCCAGCTTATCCCGGTATTCGCATGTCAATTCCCGTTTAATAATTCATGTGTAAATATTGTTGTTGTAGTTGTTGCTGTTATTTTTTTTTTGCATATGCTTTACATAACTACTACATGTGCGTGTATGTGTGTGTAAGAATTGTTTGTTTGTGTATACGATTACAATGTACACGCGATTTAATGAATTGTTAAGTAGATTTTCATGGAGAATCATTGAGGAAATTCCATGCCGATACATTCTCACACAGACACACACACCAACTCAAACCGACAAACAGCCTTTGGGCAAATTGCCTTTCCCCTCACAATTGTTGTTATTTCTGTTGGTTTTGTTGTAGTAGTTGATTGTTTTGATTGTTGTTGTTATTATTGCTGCAAGTTGGTAACAGTTACCAATAAAACAAATGGACGCCCAATAAAAAATAATTACTTTACACATGTCTCTCTCTCCACTGGTGAAGGATACACGTGTATCCTTGCGGAAGAATGAAAGAATTCAAAGAAGTAGGTATAATTATGGAAATTGCTGTCGGTCTTTAAAAAAAGAGAACATTTTTTGTTGTTTTGTTGTATTTAAAGTTTTGCAATTGAAAAGTTTGGTGCGTTTGCCCTGCTATAATAAAAGGCCATGGGTCATTGAGTGTACTATTTTTGGGATTAAAACTAGTAAAAATGCGAAAATAACACTGTCTAGGAACCGGATATTTGTTTCTTTTTTCAATTATTTTTAAAAATAAAATATGTGTTCGCATAGAAATAAATTTAAAGAGAGAGGGAGAGAGAGATGCAGTTAATGAGAGATCTGATTTAGAAGAATTCTGTTATTTTTCTTGTTTGGATTTAGTTCGGCTCAAGGTTAAATAAAATGCTGTATTATGATTTCTGATTTTTTATTTTTATTTTCAATTTGCTGTCTTCGACAGTCATCTTCATAAGAGAAGCTAATTTGTTACAAACTAAAACTGTTACTACAATTTGCTCACTCAATAAAAATTGCAAACCGCTAACTGGCAGGGTATGGTGCCCCCCACGAAATGATTAACATTTTGCTGAATTAAGATAATGAAAAAAATTAAATAAAAGTATTTCAATCCAACTGCGTGGGAACCATAGGACCATTCCTTCTAGAAACTACCTCTCAAAAAGGTGAACATTTTGAAAAATGTTAAAACCCATACGAAATGAACGAAAAATCCAATTTAATCTAAACTTTTCACATAAACCAGTGAGCGAAGGAGTGTAGTCGGACATTGTAACATTCTGCGGATCTAAATTCCGAGGGCAATGTGGAGCAATATCTCGCTACTCTTTCTTATCCTGGCATCTTTTCCGATTCATATTTTCTTGAAGTGGACATTTACACAAAAATTTTGAATAATTTTACCCTCTAAATATTAACTGATCAGTAAAACCAAAAAATAAAGTTTTTGCTCCATTTGCGGTCCTAAATATTTACCCGAAAAAATAGAGATCTTCATTGGCCCCCACCGAATTTACATGAGACAATACATATGTAGATCGACTCTAGTAGTGGTCGCCTGATCACATTTGTAATAACATATCCAAACACTTAATTTTCAACTACAAAGAAATACTTTGCCATAAAAAATATTTAAAAAAATAATGAAACTTCCAATTCTTGATACTCACCGGGTGCCTGTTGCTGCTGCTGTTGTTGTGGTGCTGACTGCTGCTGTTGACCACCATCACCGTTGGCAAATGTAAAAAGTCTTAATTTGGCAAAATCCTTCCACGATAATCCCTGTACAGCCAGCAAATGGCAACAGGATACGGCAAAAATCAACAGCACATTTTTCATTATGGATATCCTGTGGAAATTCAGGGCACAGCACGTTATACACTACACAAGCAGAACTCTTCCTGTACACACTTTGCACACGCGGAAGCAACAACTATTATTTTATTGCTTTTTTGTGTTTTATTGTATGCGTATATATATTTTATCCACTGAATGCGTCCTTTTTATTTTACTATATACTATATATGTATGTAAATGAACACAAATACACACTCTTACACAGCTATCGAATATATGTAGGTCCTGGTGATCTACTTTATAAAATAGTTTTTGTTGTTTTGTTTTATCGAAACACGACCGTTCTATCTTTTATAAAAGGCCACACACACGTTCACCCGTTAGTTGGCCAGCAATCACTGATGAATTTGTTAACAATTTAAATTTTTATATGACAAATATGGCCAGAACAAACAACCACACACACACACGTCGGGTACACCACACACCGTTGAGCACTTTTGTTCACTTCACAAAACTGGTGAAAAAATAATAATAACAACAACAACAAATACACGTACACACTCACCCAGTGTGCACCATTAATTGTCCACTCTATGTAATTTCAGTGCAAATTGTTACAGAGGTGGGAGAAATGGGGCACTCATAGACAGCAGAAATGTTAATAAATATAATTTGAAAATAAATCATCGCAATGGATGGTCCGCCCATGGACGGAGCTTCAGAAATTAAACCACGCCCATGGGCAGAGCTTAAGAAATAATTGTGAAATAAACCACGCCCATGGGCGGAGCGTAGGAATTAAACCACGCCCATAGGCGGAGCGTAGGAATTAAACCATCGGATTGTCCGATCGCATGATATTAGAAATTAATTTTTAGTACAATATTGATCATTTTGTGTAGGAGGTACCAGAAGGAGTGGAGCGATATTCCGCATCTTCGAACTTCATGTTCGTTTGCTAGAAATATTATGATTTAAGGCTACACTCATAATAAGACATTATGGTCCTTGCTAAGATATATTTTTAATCTAAAAAATATAACCTAATTGGATAAGCCAATAGAATCCCAATAGTTTACCCAAAGTGATCCTGATTAGTTTTTATTTAATGAATGTATCCTACTTTGGCACTTGGGTTTGGACAGCTATAGTACAATACAGACATATTCACAATACACACATGTATAGCCGTACATATGTGAATACCCTGTAGGACTTTCATCAACTAGTTTACAAAATGTTTAGTTATAAAGAAATTATTAATCAACTGATTATAAATTAGCTAGAAAGTCATCTAAGACTCAACCACATTGAAACCAAAAATATGTTCATGTCACCAAAAACAACACACGCAAAACAAGAAACCGTTAGAATTGCATTCCACACAACAACACCGAATGCAAATATGAAGAAAAATCATTCTGTTTGAAAGTTCGGAGAGTGAAGACGTGCAAATCGCAATTAATTGTAATTGTGCTCTGTAAGTGTGAAATTAAAAATAAATTGGTAAGTGTTTTAATAATATAATTGAAATGTTACCTAGCAAGTCACATCGTAGAAAATTATGTAAAAAGCAAAGAGAAGAATATGTAAATATAGATACATTTTTTTTAATTTGTAGCGCATATACAGAATATTTGTAAAATTTCTAACAAAGTAATCCAATAAAGTCCCCGCCAAAATCAGTGAAACGCCTCAGCATGAATTTAAGTAAGTAATTTATTATATAAATTAAAACCAACTATTCTAATTCGTATTTTAATTTCACTATATTTCAGGTGTTCATCAGCCTACCTAAAAGATTTACAAAATGTTTTCGAGTGCCTTATGGACGCCCTGCGATCACTTCCAGTGGATCCAGAGAAAGAGCTCCAAAAAGCATTGCATATTATTAAAAAAAACCTCATTTTCACAACATATGCATACAAAAAACAACTATAAGTCAGTCATTTATATTAATTTTCTGTGATGAATTATTTATTTGACATATTTTTCCACCTATGTATATAATTTTCCAACTATTTATAATAAAATATATTGAATTCTAAACTGAAATTGTATATTGTCTAACGTTATTTCATAGATTCAAACATTGCAGTATTGGTATAATTACAAATTAGCCAAGTTAAGTTAGTAAATAGTTATATTAACATATACCAACTAATAGTAATTTCGAAAATTCTACATACAAATTAATCTCTTTTAGACCGATGACTATCTGCATTTTTTTAATCTAACCATAAATCGGCCAAAAATAGCTAGTTTGTAACCAGTTGAAAATTTACTGACTACTACCGCGATCATCGCCATGTAAAAATAGTCAGTTGGTCCAAAGAAAAATAATCGATAAATGGACTAGTAGTGACTATTTTAAAATTAGTTTAAAGTTAGTATAAAATTGGTTCATTTCCCTACAGGGTACCTATACAACGTTGTGCCTTGCTCCAGCACTTAAGCGATGTAATGCTTGGTTAGATTTGCTTTACGGGCACAAATTAAAACACTGCTCTGGCTCTCAACGGACCAACGAATGAAAAAACAACAAAGTGAAAATATTCGTACATTCCGAAAAGGTTTGAACTTACACACACACAGGCATTTATACATCGACACACATGCACAACACAAAGGCCATTGGAAAACATTTTCACATTTCCCCAAAGGAAACAGTTTTTTTTTTTTTTGGTTGGCTCGTTGGAGTTGTTGTTTTTTCCCCGTTCAACACCAAAGCACCTGAGTGAGCATTATTAACACTTTGCCACCTTCATTTAGTCAATGTTGGCGCATTACACACACACACCATCGCATCAGCAGCGAGACCTTATAGCCACCACCACCCTCGACTATTGACCTTATTTTTTTGGTTAGTGTAAATTTGTGAATGTATGTGATTGAGTAGCCGTGTTTATATGAAATTTACATACGCATTCACCCACCACAACCACGCTCATTTTCAATAGATGAGTTTTTGTGTTAGTTTTTCCTGATTCGTTCACTAATTTGTTTTTAACAACTTAATCGTTTCCATTTCAATTGTCAAACGCAAATAGACGAAACACGAGCATAGCACAATTGACATAGGCGCGTATTTTCCCGCAGTTAGTTTGGTTTTTTGTTCATAATATTTTCAATGATGCTTCAATTGAATGACTGTTGTGGCCTTTGATTAATAAATGGTCAATGGAGTGGGTTTTATTTTTTCTTACACCTTTCTCAGGTCGATAGGTATTCTCTTTATGGTTTATATTAGAAGGTCAATAGGGATTTCTTAATATACAAATACAATTTCTAAGTAGATTTTGAATTCTCATAAAATATTAATGGGTGAAGAGAATTATAATTTTTCTATATTCTAAAATAGCAAAAAATTAATCTTAAATAAATTTTTTAATAGACAAATATATTCTAATAGAACATTAATATACAATTTTCGAATAGAATAAAAAAGGGCATTTTAAAATTCTATAGGTATGAAATATATACAATTCAAGTCATATACAATTTAATAGATATAATTCAATTCAACAATTTCCAATTAATTACACATTTCAACGAAAACTTATCAAAAAATAATTACAGCATTTAACCGAAAGCAATTAACACCTTTCGCTCTCGCCAACCACCACACAAAAGTTTAATTCATAATTGTAAATTAATTGTGTTTCGTTCCAGTGAATGATTTCTATTTTTATCATTTATCTATCAACATTTTTCATTTCACCTAAACAAATATGTTTTTTTTAATTTTACAATTAATTCTTCAATTTAAACGGAAATTTATAATTTGTTGTTGGCTTGTTTGGACATCTGTTTTACAATACTTGTAACAATACGCAACTACTGATGTGAATCGTCTGCATGGTTTGTAATAAACTGGGCATTTTAATGGATTGAAAAGGGCCTTAGGTTAATAAATTATCAATAAAACAAGTAAAAAAGTATCAGACGGTTTTGCCGACAGAAATATACCTTCAGCCTATGGTTTGCGGAGGTCTTCAGAATTACACAGTATTTATAAATATTGAAAATGTTGACACTTTGTGGGGGAGTTACCCGAAGAAGTGGACCAATGAGTCCCATTTCCCTTTTTGATCTAGGCTTGTTAAAGATAATACGTTGTGCAATCTTTGGTTCAAATCAGATATTCCATTCGCCTGATATTGGATTTACTAATATTGAAATTTTTGACCACTTGTGGGTCCCATCTTCGGACTTAATCTAGACTTCGTAAATATAATGGGTTGTGCAAAGTTTGGTTCACACCGGGCATTCCATTCGCCTAGATTTAAAAATATTGAACATTTTTGGGGGAGGTACTAGAAGGAGTGGACCAATGGGTCCCAGGTTGTACAAAGTTTTATTAAAATCGGATAGTCCGTTTACATGTTATTATAAAATTAATTTTTAGCAAAATTTTGTCCATTTTGTGTGGGAGGTACTAGAAGGAGTGAGCCGATATTTCCCATCTTCGAACTTGAACTAAGTTTGGAAGAAAAAAAAATAATGAGTCAAATTTGGATGAAATCGGTTATTCCCTTTGAGAGTTATCGTGTCCACCATCCGGCCAGACTGACGGCAATTTTATAAAGAAAGTTCTTATAATATAAATTATTTTAATATTCATTTTTAAAAACATAAAAAAAAATTGTTTAAAATAAAAAACTTCTCATTAACTTTTGAAGACTTGATTTTTGTACAATGACCTTGAAATGTGTTTTTCACAAGGAGTCATATTAACAATTTCATTGACATTAAGATTCAAAAAAATCCTTAAAATGTCATATTATTACTAATCTTCTGATTATAGTTTTTAAAACAAACTTATCGTTGAAAAAACATCTATTTTTTTAATTGGCTCGCCTATTTAATGATATGCTATTAAACACTAATGTGCCATAATTTGATTTAATAATAGTTAATTTAAAGGCTACCATAATTTTCATAAATTTATTACCTAATTTATATGAATGCAAATAAAATTTAAAATGTGACAGGGTCAAGCGATTCACACTTTTTTATCAACATATATTTTTATTAGGAGCATGCGAATATCTCGAAAAATTTGAGAGGGTTAAAAAAGGTTTTGTATAAAATCCTCTGAAATTCCTTTACTCTAAATATTGGTCTGAGTCTATAAAAAAAAGTTTTTATAATTACAGAAAGGCAAATGGAATGCAAATTGTTATCTAGATACCAGTTTAATTTCCTACACCACACTTTGGTAGAGTATTACGTCTCTTTGAAAAAAAATGAAGAGGGAACGAGGATATTCATAGAATCACTTTTTAAGTCGATTAACGCATGTCTGTCCGTTAGACAAAGCACGAATTATGAAAATCGGTTCTGATTTACATATATCTCCCTTATATATTTCCTTCCAGATTGAGAAGGGTGTCTTTGCGAATATTTAGGTAACATACTGATGTACGATGATGTACGATAAGTTTGCATAGTTTAGATTTCGTAATAGATCTCATATACACTTCCATCAGATTTTATTTGAAGGGTTTTATGTAAGAAAAAATATGTAAGATGTACTTCTGAATCGAGTGTTTAATCAATGTTGTAAATTAAAATCATTTACCCTGATAATACATAATTGAAAATGTAATTGATTTTTTTAATAACGTATGATATTATTTTAAAATCGGCATTTATATTTTATTTCCTCTAGACATAACACAATTCTATATTATTTAGTAAGTGTTTTCCCTTATTCCTTTATACAAGTTTTGATTTAAACATTTTAGTAAAACTTTAGTCGGACTGATTTTTTGTTTTGTAATGTTTACCCAACATAGCATTTCTGGATTTAATTAATTTCTATGTCCACTTACCGGCAATCATAATTGAGATGATGATATATCTTCTTCTGGATCAACACAACAGTATCTTTAGTTGAATGGATCGAATGGACTTGAATCCACATTCCTTGCGAAATTTAAAATATGATATTCTCTCAATGTATATCCAACACAAAAATATGGCTTTTATAGACTTTTAACTGAAATGCAAAAAAATTATATCGTGAAGTCCATGCTTCGAAATGCTTAACCCTTACCCATTTAAAGCAAATCCAAGAAGTTAGATATTTATCAATTTTCCACATGACTGAAGAACACAGGAATATTATTTAAGTTGTAATTATATTTACTCATCCTTCTAGGTACAGGCGGTCCACAATTGATTTGATTAGCATCGCCTGTGTTATTGGCATCATAATCACAAAACATAGCCTTAAAAGAGTTCGGAGTGCGTAGCAATATATTCTTGAACTTAAAACCCAATGGATTCATTGATCCAAGCACTTGTATAGTATTAATTCTTTCAAAAACTTTTCATATTTGATTTTGTATTTGTCAACGTAAAAAATATTTCTATTCTTTAGATAGGTGTAAACACGGCCAATATTGAAAAGCATTAATGTTGGCTGCACTGACGTTACCATTTAATGGACCCTTGAAGTTAGACGTCTTCCATTATTACTGCAATTACTATTTTGTTAATGAAATACGTTTCGTTAATAGATTTGAATGCAGAATTATCATTTATAATATTTTCTAAGGATTAATTGATAATTTAGAATATAAATATTTATTAAATTATTATTTCTTCCCTATTTTATCATATATATTTTACGCCCTTACTAAAGTATCATCCTCTATAATGTCTAATTGTATTTTTGACGCCGTCACTTTACAACTATAGCCAACGTAGTGAAATAGAATAATCCCATTGACGCCTTCAATCAATCAGCATCATCAACTTTGTTCTGTTTGGCAAAAAATTTTTGGAAAAATCGAGAACTAGTCGTGATATATTCACAGATATTTTAAATTGGTGAAAAGTTCCCAAAAAATTTGAGCAGCGTTTAGGCCACGCGTTAGAAAAGAGTCCAGGAGGAAGTAGTTAATATAATTATCCCTTTTTTAAACAAAATAAAAACTAAAACACACAAATAACCATGACTCGTAAGTAGAAGAAAAACAATCGTATAAAATTGGAATTTTGTAGAATTTGTATAGATGTAGATAAGTGTGTGTGCCTTAAAAATTGTTTTTGTAAATTCAAAAAAGTGAACCAATTTTCTTTTTTCTCAAGTAAAAAAAGGTGTTATTTCTTTATTGTAATAACTAAAATATAAAGAAATGATATCATATTTTGTGTTGGTGGCCACAGACACACGGTCATATGAGATGTGGACAAACATCTCATATGACTGAATGGCTGTCTGCATTGCTTCCTATTACATCCCGTTTTTCTTTATTTACATACTAGCTGCATGTGTATATACATTAATACATACAAACGTTATTATGTATTATATGTTCTTGTAATATCTAATTTATTTTTATTGTACTTTTTCTTTATTTCGTTTTTAATTTATAGGAGGAAATCAACGTGAACTTGCTCGTGCTAAAAACCAAAAGAAACAACAAGAAATCAACAAAGGCAAACGTACTGACAATTTAACCGTCGAACAACGCAAACAAAGGTAAATTGTAACAATAAAAATTAAAATGTATATATACTAACAGATCTCCTCTTCCGTTTTTATATTATTCTTAAAAGTTCGGTGCTTTTCATAACCTAGAAATTAATTTTTTGTTTCAATTTCTTATTAATTTTTGTAATGGGTAGATAATGACAGTATTCAATTACGCAGTATTTTGTTGATTAATTAAAAGTGAAATCATCCATGTTGTTATATTTTCCCCCATATGTATGTATGTATACATATCAATATTTGTTTGTAAACAAAAAATAAGTAGAGCAGTAAAGGGGGGATATTTATTTATTTCCATAACGACTTCCATTTCATTTGAGCGACTCAAAATAAGTTTACCAGTATCATACAATAATGGTTTAAAAGTATCATACAATAATGGTTTAAAAGTATCATACAATAATGGTTTAACAGATGAAACTATTTGTTTCATGGACCAATTTGAGTTTATAGTCTGCAACTTCCCAAGAAGCCCTTCCACTATCCATATACGATTATAATATATACAACACATGCTCTCATTCTTGTTTTCCTTACCTTTGAAATCGACATACTTATTTATATTTGCTCGCCTTTTTCTTTTCTCATTACAGAGATGCCGAGTTGATGCGAGAAAAACAGCGTAGAAAGGAAGAAGCTGCGAGGGCAGCAGGCCAACAAATAGCGGCTAAATAAAAAACACCGACACAAACAACAACAGTTCATCAACCATTAAAATGTGGCCCATGGTCGTCGTCGTCGTCACCTCCTCATCATCAATCCAACAATCGTCAATCAATCTATAAATACAACAAGAATAATAAGAAAAAAATTACATTCAAAGTAAGAAAAATGTGTATGTCCTCATAGTTATCTCATTTTGAGCTGCTGTGTTGGCCTACCAAAGAACTTAACTTACTAACAACCAAACTATACACACAAACAAACCAACAAACATTCTTTCATATGTGTTCGCCAAGAACTTGGATTTTTATTCTCTCTTATCATAAAACAATGCCGATTAGCTCAATATGACAACAAAAGCAAAAAAAAGTTCATTCTTTTTTAAACTACAACATCCCATAAACATGTCAATATCAACACATTATTTTTTTAACGCTGCAATAGAAGATAAGAATAATTCTGGAACACACAAATCAAATAGTATGGATTCTATGCCGCCTAATTTTAACACTAAACAAACATAATTTTAATTTTTTTAATCATCTGTAACATCCATAGATAATTATGTTCAACTATCCTCAGCTATTTAATTTTTATTTTTTGGTGAATAAGTTTGGTTTAACACCACCACTTTTTCTTTTGTATTTAAAAAAAATTCTTCTCATTCATATTTGAAACAAAAGCAAAGTATTTATGTGAAATCTCTTGTAATAATAATTCCAAAATGCAATAATCTTTAAATAGATTTTTGATAATGCCCAAAAATAGAGCAGAGGTCAGTCACATAGAAACTGTAATAAGTCTCCAAAACAAATATGAATTAGTTGAAAACACACACAAGAAGAATATTTAGTAATTACTTTCCTTTCTTATTTTATATTTTTTTTTATAGTTTATATAGACTTGTAAGTATGATATTAAATTTAAAAACAAACAAAAAAATTGAAAAACCAATTTCTTAAAATTTAAGAGAGTATATAAATTATATAAATTGCAAAATTTTTTGTGAAAAGAAACTACAAAAACAATAAAACGGAAATATACAATGAAAAATATTGCAAAATATGTTTTTTATTTATTTAGAAACTTGAATGTGAAAAATGCAATGGGATTTGAATCAGTGTTTAAATATTTCGCATTCGTATAAACGCTGATGTCATAAGAAATTACCGTTGAAATGTTGGTAAAAGTATTAAAATTAGATTTTTAAATATTCTTCAAAAAGAAAAATGAATATTCTTAATGAATTGACGTTAATAAAAAGAAAATCGTTGAATATCTACAGTTGAAATAGTTTCCAAGCAAAACGCTTAAAAAATCTACGCTTGAAATAGTTAAAAAAGAAAATCATTAACCCGAGCTGTGCCAGCGTGACCAAATGGTCACACTCAAAAGACGAACAAATAGTATGACCATATAGTCACAGTCCAAAAAATGATCCTGTCGATTATCCTCGTTAGAAAAAAGGATACAAATCAAATTTTTCTATTCAGTGGCCCACGATCTAGAGACGCTAAAAGTTTCGTCCCAAAATTCGAAAAAAATAATTACAGCACTATTTGAGTTAAAAATCTATGCAAAAATCCACGCTTGATATTCTTTTAAAAAAATCTAAAAAAATCCACGCTTAAAGCTATGATAGTCTTCGAAAAAATATTCTTTAAAACCCACCCTTAAAGCTCTGAAAGCCTTCGAAAAAAATATTCTTTAAAAATCCACGCTTAAAGCTCTGATAGTCTTCAAAAATATATTCCTTAAAATCATACGCTTAAAGTTCTGATACTCTTCGAAAAAAATATTCTTAAAAAATCCACAAAATCAAAAAAATATTCTTTAAAAACCCAAGCTTAAAGCTCGGTAAGACTTCAAAGAAATATTCTTTAAAAATCCAAGCTTAAAGCTCGGTAAGACTTCAGAGAAATATTCTTTAAAAATCCAAGCTTAAAGTTCTGATAGTCTATTTTAATTGAAGGCATTCCATATAGGTCTGATATCTATTACGAGTAGAGGAAAAACGCCTGTAAACAAAGTCATCTCTATCGCTGTATATAAAAAGTGTAGCATACTTTTAGGGTCACTTAAATTGTACAAATAAGATGATACGCCATACGGTAATACTGTTTCAAATAATTTAAAATTGTATATAGCTAATGAATTTGAAACTTAAATCACTATATTCTACTATAAATTTAGATTATTCTATCCTGATAAAAATATGCGATTCTTGGGTAATAATATTTGAAGACTGTACACATTAGATTCGAAAGCAAATATTTTATAATGAAAAAATTCCAATTACTCTCAGAGGACCATAGGGAGGTCGAATATGGCATACATACAGTAAATATAAATTAATAAATATTAACAGTTATTCGCACATTCGTAAAGCTAGCAGTGCAACAAAAAGGTATTTAGTTATGATTGAAATCTTCGTTTCCAAGAAAAAACATTGAAAATACAAATAGTCAACAAACCGTTAAAATAAACGGTCAACAGAAAGCTAGGCTTGAGTTAACCGGTAAGAAATAACATCACAGTTAGCATCAGATCAAACCATATACAGTCATTGAGGACATAAATGCAATGACTTAAATCCCAAAACAACCCGTATCCATTGCAATCGCAACCTCAAGCCAGGCGGCCATTCACAAATACTGGATATTACCAAAAATGTCCAACGTTGATCATTTATTTCTTCTTCTTCATTTTGTTAAAGACTGGGAAATGCATCATGTCTAACGGAATCTAATCACACACAAATAAGGACATCTGACATCTTCAAATGAAACGAAACGAATGGAAAACAATGAACCAATGTAACAACAACAACGAAGCCTCATCATTGTGGTTTCTACTAAATAAGGCATTGAAGAAGTTTTGTTGTTTCTTGAATCTCAGCATCATTCATTTGACCATGGCTGGTTTCTTCTTCTGCATCTTCTAATGATGCTGGTCCTCCACAACACTAAAGCTTGTTTGTGGGGGAGGGGTTCGAGGAGGTTTTGTTGTGGTATATTGTTTTCTTCTTTTTCTATGAATTTGTCACCATTCTTAGAGTCGTTTATATTTTGAGGTGGAATACATACTTACATTCATAAATAAAACTGTAAAAGAATACCAACAATGGTCTGGGAAACATGGAATTACTTACAAGTAAGTTATTTTAACAATATTTTAAAATAAATAAATTTTTATTTTTTTAATGGCGAAAATGCAAAGGACTTTTCACTTTCTTCATTATCCATACTATTGTTGTTGTAGTAAACGTAAAGGTTTTTTACAATGGGCTAAGTTGGCCATTATTGACGGGGTGTGCCTCGACCCACTCTATTGTATTTCCCAATGTTGGCCATGAATCAAGATCTTTGTTTACATAGCTTATTACATATAGCTAAAACCCATTGTTTTCTTAGTTACTTTTTTACCATTGAGCAAAAAAAATGAAGTGCTTCAGTTTCGTAGAAATTGTTTGGAGACCGAATATTTGGTCCATTTACAGGTAATTCATAGACAATGACAATACGACCAGCCATTGTTTGCATACATCGAGGTACATAGGGTCAGTGTCTTTATTTTGTCAAAAGCTACATGCAATTTTGTGTTTTTTTTTTGTGGCTATTGTTAATAATGCACCATGGCCAAGGTCAAAGGTTATAATATTTATAATGATGTTGTTGTTATGCTAGGAATTGCGAAAAATATCATGACAAGGGAGTGATTTATGGCAATGTGCCCATGGCATAAATGAATGATTAGAAAGTAAAGGATATACCCCTTAAATGTGATACATAGATAAATTATATCTAATGGTGTCTACAGTCCAAAATTTAGTTAGAATACCTTCAAGCGTAGGATTTTGATATTTGAAGAGTATTTTTTCGAAGTCTTTCCGATGTTTAATCGGGGATTTTTTAAAGAATATTTTTTCAAAGACTATCAAAGCTTTAAGCGTGGATTTTTAAAGAATATTTTTTCAAAGACTATCAAAGCTTTAAGCGTGGATTTTTAAAGAATATTTTTTCAAAGACTATCAAAGCTTTAAGCGTGGATTTTTAAAGAATATTTTTCAAAGACTATCAAAGCTTTAAGCGTGGATTTTTAAAGAATTGTTTTAGTGGCCCATCAAAGCTTTAAGCGTGGATTTTTAAAGAATATTTTTAGAGGCCTATCAAAGCTTTAAGCGTGGATTTTTAAAGAATATTTTTTTAAAGACTATCAAAGCTTTAAGTGGGGATTTTTAAAGAATATTTTTGTCGAAGATAATCCAAGCTTTAAGCGTGGATTTTTTAAGAATATTTTTTCGAAGATAATCCAAGCTTTAAGCGTGGATTTTTAAAGAATATTTTTTCGAAGATTATCCCAGTTTTAAGTGTAGATTTTTCAAATAATATTTTTTCGAAGATTATCCCAGCTTTAAGTGTGGATTTTTTGAATAATATTTTTTCGAAGTCTTAACGAGCTTTAAGCGTTGATTTTTTAATGAATATTTGTTCGAAGTCTTGCTGGGCTTTAAGCGTGGATTTTTTAAAGAATATTTTTCCGAGTCTTACCGAGCATTATGCTTGGATTTTTAAAGAATATTTTTCCGAGTCTTACCGAGCTTTATGCTTGGATTTTTAAAGAATATGTTTTTGAAGACAATCCAAGTTTTAAGCGTGGATTTTTAAAGAATATTTTTTCGAAGATAATCCAAGCTTTAAGCGTGGTCTATAGACATATTTTCTTAAAACAGAGTACTTACTACAGGATTTCTAAAGACAAGTCTTCGGGAGACACAATATGTTTTGCAAGTCGTCTCTAGCCAGATTATATTCCATGGGTCTCCTGTAGATAACATACCTTCTACATACAGTACACCTTCAAAAGGTCGTCCATTGAGGGAAACCCTATATAGGTTTCCCTCTCTTTCGAATTTTCTGAAAAAACAAGTCAAAAGCCGCGTAACAATAGTAACAGTACAACTACGAAGATGATCATCATCGTCTTAAAGCAACGACCGCGATTACGGTGACGCTGACGTATACATTAACGTCGATGCTGACGACGT